CAACATAGATTCAAGAACAGCTTCTTCCCCACTGTTATCAGACTGTAGCTGTAACACCATATTCTACATTCTATTACCCTGATGTACTTATGTAAGGTGTGAGTTTGTGGATAATACACAAAACAATACTTTTCACTGTATCTCAGTACATGTGACAATAATTAATCTAATCAAATTGCTGAAATTTGTGTTTATATTTAGAGTCATAAAATCATAGAATCATACAGCATAAAAACAGACCCTTCAGTCCCAAATTGTCCACACCAACCAGGCATCCCAATCTGGCATAGTCCCCTTTACCAACATTTGGCCCATATCTCTCCAAACCCTTCTGATTCATATACCAATCCAGATGCCTTTTAAATGTTGTAATTGCACCAGCCTGCACCACTTCCTCTGGGAACTCATTCCATACACACATCACCCGCTGTGTGAAAAAGTTACCCCTTGAGTCCTTTTAAAACTTTCCCCTCTCACCTTAAACCTACGCCCTCCAGTTTTGGGCTCCACTACCCTGGGAAAAAGACCTTGGCTATTCACCATATCCCTGCTCCTCATTATTTTATAAACCTCTATAAGGTCATCACTGACCTCTGACGCTTCTACATCTCTGTGATGTGCAAATCAAGGGCCTGAGCTCCCCTGACTCCTCCTTACATAGTATTCTTGTTCACATCAAACAACCAGAACCCCTTAACTCTATCAAGTACAGAAATTTGGTTTGTAAATTATATAACAGTAATTATCTATGCAAAGTTTTAACGTTGGACTTACAGTCCTAACTTAAATCAATATTCAGTCACAAGGACATCTTGAAAAACAACCCACCTCCCACCCACAGCCTCCAAGCTCATCATTCCCCAAACCCGCACCGCCCGTTTCTATCTCTTTCCCAAAATCCACAAACCTGACTGCCCTGGTCGACCCATTGTCTCCGCCTGCTCCTGCCCCACCAAACTTATCTCGAATTATCTCGACTCCATTTTCTCCCCCTTGGTCCAGGAACTCCCCACCTACATCCGTGACACAACCCACGCCTTCCACCTCCTCCAAAACTTCCGATTCCCTGGTCCCCAACACCTCATCTTTACCATGGACGTCCAGTCCCTATACACTTGCCGATGGCCTAAAGGCCCTCCGCTTCTTCCTATCCCGCAGGCCCGACCAGTCCCCCTCCACTGACACCCTTATCCGCTTAGCCGAACTGGTCCTCACCCTCAACAAGTTCTCTTTCAATTCCTCCCACTTCCTACAGACAAAGGGGGTAGCCATGGGTACCCGCATGGGCCCAAGCAATGCCTGCCTCTTTGTAGGTTACGTGGAACAATCCCTCTTCTGTACCTACACTGGCCCTAAACCCCACCTCTTCCTCCGTTCCATCAATGACTGTATCGGCAGCGCCTCGTGCTCCCACGAGAAGCTCGAACAGTTCATCCACTTCACTAACACCTTCCACCCCAACCTTAAGTTCACCTGGACCATCTCCGATACCTCTCTCTCCTTCCTGGACCTCTCTGTTTCCATCTCTGGCAACCAACTGGAAACCGATATCCCTTTCAAGCCCACTGACTCCCACAGCTACCTAGAATACACCTTCTCCCACCCACCTTCCTGCAAAAATGCCATCCCCTATTCCCAATTCCTTCGCCTCCACCGCATCTGCTCCCAAGATGAGGCATTCCACTCCCGGACATCCCAGATGTCCTCCTTTTTCAAGGACCGCAACTTCCCCTCCACAGTGGTCGAAAATCCCCTCGACCATGTCTCTCGCATTTCCCACAACTCATCCCTCACACCCCCTACCCGCAATAACAACCGAAACAGAATCCCCCTCGTCCTCACGTACGACCCCACCAACCTCTGAATCCAATGCATCATCCTCCGACACTTCCGCCATCTGCAATCCAACCCCACTACCAAAGACATTTCTCCCTCCCCACCCTTATCTGCTTTCCGGATGGACCACCCTCTCCGTGACTCCCTTGTCTGCTCCACACTCCCCTCCAGCCCCACCACACCCGGCACTTTTCCCTGCAACCGCAGGAAGTGCTACACCTGCCCCTACACCTTCCCCCTCACCCCGATCCCAGGGCCCTAGAAGATCTTCCACATCAAACAGATGTTCACCTGCACATCTGCTATTGTGGTATACTGTACCTGTTGTTCCTGATGTGGCCTCCTCTACATCAGGGAAACCAAGCGGAAGCTTGGGGACCACTTTGTGGAACACCTACGCTCAGTTCGTGACAAACGACTGCACCTCCCAGTTGCGAACCATTTCAACTTCCCCTCCCATTCCTTAGACGACATGTCCAACTTGGGCCTCCTGCAGTGCCACAATGATGCCACCCGACTGTTGCAGGAACAGCACCTCATATTTCGCTTAGGAACCCTGCAGCCCAATGGTATCAATGTGGACTTCACAAGCTTCAAAATCTCTCCTCCCCCGACCGCATCCCAAAACCAGCCCAGCTCGTCCCCACCTCCCTAACCTGTCCTTCCTCCCACCTATCCCCTCCTCCCACCTCAAGCCCCACCCCCATCCCCTACCTACCAGCCTCATCCCGCCCCCTTGACCTGGCCATCCTCCTGGACTGACCTATGCCCTCCCTGACTCCCCACCTACACTCACCTTTACTGGCTTCATCCCCGCCTCTTTGACCTGTCTGTCTCCTCTCCACCTATCTTCTCCTTTATCCATCTTCTATCTGCCTCCCCCCCAACTATTTATTTCAGAATCCCCTTCCCCTCCCCCATTTCTGAAGAAGGGCCTAGACCCGAAATGTCAGCTTTCCTGCTCCCCTGATGCTGCTTGGCCTGCTGTGTTCATCCAGCTCTGTACCTTGTTATCTCATATTACAAAGATGGTGGTGTTGGACATCTTAAAATGCTTAAAGGTGGGTAAATCCTTGGGACCTGATCAGGTATACCACAGAACTGTGTGGGAAGCTGGGGAAGTGATTGCTGGGCCCCTTGCTGAGATATTTGTTTCATCGATAGGCACAGGTGAGGTGCTGAAAGACTGGAGATTGCCTAACGTGGTGCCACTATTTAAGAAAGGCAATAAGGAAAAGCCAGGGGATTATAGACTGGTGCGCCTAACATCGGTGGTGAGCAAATTGTTAGATGGAATCCTGAGAAACAGGATTTACATGTATTTGGAAAGGCCAGGACTGATTAGGGATAGTAAACATGGCTTTGTGTGTGGGAAATCATGTCTCACTAACTTGATTGAGTTTTTTGAAGAAGTAATGAAGAGGATTGATGAGGGCAGAGCAGTGGATGTGATCTATATGGACTTCAGTAAGGCATTCAACAAGGTTCCTCATGGTAGACTGGTTAGCAAGGTTAGATCACATGGAATACAGGGAGAACTAGCCAACTGGATAAAGAACTGGCTTGAAGGTAGAAGACAGAGGGTGGTGGAGGAGGGTTGTTTTTCAGACTGGACGCCTGTGACCAGCAGTGTGCCAAGAGGATCGGTGTTGGGTCCACTGCTTTTTGTCATTTATATGAAATGATTTGGATGTGAATGTAGGAGGTATGGTTAGTAAATTTGCAGATGACACCAAAGTTAGAGGTGTAGTGGACAGCGAAGATGGTTACCTCAGAGTACAATGGAATCTTGATCAGATCAGCCAATGGGCCAATGGGCCAAGGAGTGGCAGATGGAGTTTAATTTAGATAAATGTAAGGTGCTGCACTTTGGAAAGGCAAATCAGGGCAGGGCTTACACACTCAATGGTAAGGTCCTGGGGAGTGTTGCTGAACAAAGAGACCTTGGAGTGCAGGTTCATGGTTCCTTGAAAGTGGAGTCGCAAGTAGATAGGATAGTAAAGAAGGCACTTGTTATGCTTGCCCTTTATAGGTCAGTACATTGAGTATAGGGTTGGGAAGTTATGTTGTGACTGTATAGGACATAGGTTAGGTCACTTTTGCAATACTGCGTTCAATTCTGGTCTCCCTGTTATAGGAAAGATGTTGTGAAACTTGAAAGGATTCAGAAAAGGTTTACAAGGATGTTGCCAGAGTTGGAGGGTTTGAGCTATAGGGAGAGGCTGAGATTATGTTCCCCTGGAATGCTGGGGGCTAAACTTGTAGAAGTTTATAAAATCGTGAGGGGCATAGATAGGGTGAATAGCCATGATCTTTTCTCCAGGGTAGAGGAGTCCAAAACTGGAGGGCATAGGCTTAAGGTGAGAGAGGAAACATTTAAAAGGGACCTCAGGGGCAACATTTTCACGCAGACAATGATGCGTGTATGGAACGAGCTACCAGTGGAGGCTGGTATAATTACAACATTTAAAAGGCACTTGGATGGGTATATGAATGGGAAGGGTTTAGAGGGATATGGGCCAAATGCTGGCAAAATTGGGCTAGATTAATTTGGGATATTTGGTCAACATGGACAAGTTGGACTGAAGGGTCTGTTTCCATGCTGTACAGCTCTATGACTATGACTAAGAGACATGGGCAAACTATCCACCAATTACTGACCTGCTCTCCTGTGACATCTCACTTTGATTTTGTTGAACCAGATTCCCTCCCCTGGTCTGTCTGCTTCTGGGACCTCTCTGTGCTCACCGCTCAATCACTGCTACTACTCTCAACTCCCATACAGCTCCCCCTCCCCCAAGTCTATCTGCTTCTGCGACCTCTCCACTCTCACTGCTTCATCAACCTCACTGTCCATTCCCAAGCCCCACACAATGTCAGCGCCTATATAAGATACACACCAAGTTAGCAATAGTTAATTTCCTGTTAGCCTGAGCAGTGACCACACATCCCTGGAGATGAAATTTTCAGGGAATTTTCATTCTTATTTGGGACGTAAGCATCTTGGCTGGGCCAGCACTAGTTACCCAATCACCCTGGTGAAAGGGGAGCTAGGCTGCTTTCCTGCAGTCCGTATGGTGTAGGGACAGCCATGTGCTGTTAGTGTGAGAATGCCAGGGTTTGGACCCAGTAATGATCTCGCTGTCAGAGCAGAAAATACTTACACGAGAATGATTACTTGATGTTTCTGTTTTCTCCTGAGAACGATCTCGTGCCAGTTTCGCTGCCTCTTTAACTTCCTGAAATTTCTCTGCAAACTGCAATATATTAAATCTTGAGTTGTAGGGTGTTTGGGATTGAGTAATATTTAAACAATGACTACAGTGTGTCACAGACAATTAAACCCAGCAAAAGCTTCAGATTCTATCACGGCGATTGTACGACCAATGAGCCAATCCCAGTCACAATTAAACCTTTTCATCTCATCCATTCTCTTTACACATCCCATTGAACCCATTTAATCTGTAACTTGGGGATTCGCAGTCTTGAAAACATTTACTGACCACTTGAACCTTTCCGTTTTTCTAAAGCAATCTGAATTCTTCACCCCCAGGCCTTCACAAATACTAAAAGCACTTCCATAAGCACAATTTCAATTCTTCCGTGGCCATGGGAGAGGTGCTGGAGGACTGGAGCACAGCCTCTGTGGTATCGTTTTTCAAGAAGGGAGTAAGGGATAAACCAGGAAACCATAGACCAGTGAGTCTACACTCAATGGTGGGGAAATTATCGGAACGAATTCCGAGGGACAGAATTAATCTGCACTTGGAGAGGCAAGGGATTAATCAAGAATAGTCAGCATGGTTTTTTTTTTAAGGGCTGGCCATGTCTGACTGACTTGATTGAATTTTTTGAAGAGAAAACCAGGTATGTAGATGAGGGCAATGCATTTGACGTAATCTACTTGGACTTCAGCAAAGCTTTTAATATGTCCCACATGGGAGACTGATAGCAAAGGTTGAGAGCCCATGGGATCCAAGGGAGTTTGGCTAATTGGACCCAGAAAGGGCTGAGTGGCAGGAACTGGATGGTGATGGTCGAGGGGTGTTTTGTGACTGGAATTCTGTGTCCAGTTGGGTCCTACAGGTATCAGTGTTGGGGCCCTTGCTGTTTGTGGTATATATAAACAATTTAGACTTGAATGTAGGAGGGTTGTTCAGTAATTTTGCAGATGATATGAATATTGTTTGGCTGATAACTAGTGAGGAGGATAGCCTTAGACTACAGGAGGACGTAGACAGGCCCGTCTGATGGGCTGATCAATCCGGATAAATGTGAGGTGATGCATTTGGGCTGATGAAACAAGGCAAGGGAATACATGATGAATGGTAGGTTCCTGGGAAGCACTGAAGATCAGAGTGTAAATGACAGCCAGTCCCTTAATATATTAGGACAGGTTGATAAAGTGGTTAAGGTGACATATAGAATACTTGCCTTTATAGTCGAGGCAAACAGATTATGCAGGAGCTGTACAAAACACTGCTTACGCCATACCTAGAGTAGTGGGTGCAGTTCTGGAATTCACATTACAGGAGGGATGCGAAAGCACTGGAGAGGGTGCAGAGGAGATTTACCTGGACATTGCCTGGGCTGGAGAGTTTCATTTATGAAGAGAAATTGGCCAGACTTGGGACTGATTTCCTCAGAGCAGAGGAGATTGAGAGGGAATATGATTGAGATGTGTAAAATGACAGGGGACAGAGATAGGGTAAACAGCACGCAACTTTTCCCCTTGGTTGAGGGATCAATGACCAAGGGGCAAAGATTTAAGGTAAGGGGCAGAATGTTTAGAGGAGATGTGAGGAGAAACCTTCTCACCTAGAGGGTCGTGGGAATCTGGAACTGACTGCCCATAAGAAACTCTTATCACAATGAACAAGTATTTAGTTGCACACTTGTGATCCCAAGGTAATGGGCCAAGTGCTACGAAATGGAATTAGAATAGTCGGGTGGCTGTTTTTGATCAGTGAAAATGCGCTGGGCCAAAGGACCTTTTTCTGTGCTGTAGATCTCTGTGACTCTATGGCAACCAGACAAATATCCTATCAGTTACAACTTGTACTCTCTCTCTTTCTCTCACATACAGCCCTATTGATAACCTACAGTACTGAGGGATAATCTGGAGGTTAAAAACTGGGCTTACCCTGATCCCTACCCAATTTTGCAGCCTCTTGTGCCTACTCCATACTCTGTGTAAAGGCATCACTGACCAGGACCTGGTGCCAGATTTTGTGGCAATCCCTAGGTGCCTGGGAATAAACTCTCACTCGGAAAGTTCTCATGTTTCCAATGTCCCCAGCTCCAGCCCTCTAATGCTTTTTCTAAGTTATTTTGCTGCTATGTTACAAGCTGCTGTGTGTGAAGGGAATTCTCCAGTGAGATCAGTCAGGAATTTGATCAGAGAGATGAGGCTGGGAATGATGGGATTTCTCTCAAACTACAATATCTCACTGATTACAGAGACATCGAGAAAACTATCTCAGCCAACCTTACCCTCACACACACCCTCACAGCCACTACCCTCACACTTAACCCTCCCTCCACCACCTTCCTTCATACTAACACCAATGTGCCCTCACTCCCACCCTCCACATACCCTTCACCCATTCCATCTATTCTGTACTGAGGCATCTTTACCTTCTGCCCCCTCACTTCCTCCTGCACCCCATCTTTACCCTCCATCCCTCACACCACTCCACCCCATCACCTCCACCGTCTCTCACCTCTCCCTCCCCATTCAGATTCCTACCTTGGTTAATTGCTGCTCAGAGGAGAATCCCAGCCCGAAGACAGTGTTAGCTCGGCTGTCTGCCCACTGCCCAAACTTCTGTGAGGTTTTTGTGAAGGTCATGTTCGGGGTGACAGTGCTGTTTATAATTACCTGGCAGAGAGGTACAGAGAAAATCTTAAGCTTTAAAACTTCAAAACAAAACAAAAGAAAACAATTACAAGTTGTTTCTCTGCTCTCACTCCTTCACATTGCATTTCTTACCTCAGTGCCAGTTTCCAGATTACCAGGTTACTGTCACCATGTTCCAATTTACCAACTCCAGGTTACCAGACAATGCCAGTGTCAGTCTCAACTATTTCCTTCCCTGCCTCTCAGTTAGTTTTCATTCTACCCCCATCAGGATTCAGGCACAAGAATCCAAACAAAGAAAAGAAACATCAATTTATGCAACATCAGGAGAGCGTGTGATTGGTTGGACAATAGTTCAAATGGAAATACAGCAAGACCAGTTAACTGTCAACCTTATTTAGCTGGTTAAACTCAGACCATGCAAGTAGGCACTGTAGGCAGAATGTTGCCATGGAGAAAGCAGTAAGGATCAATCGTCACCATACACTCTCTCTCAATGAAATAGGTTAGACAATTCCTTTTGCCTACAAAGAACAGGGCCCTGTGTGTGAGTATCTGTAGCTCCTCACACACACAAATGCACCATGCTGCAAGTCTGACTGATAATCATATCTTGGTTTCCAGAGCACAGGCAGGATTATTTAGTAAATGCTGTTACATATCAGAATCTCATCTAATGTCTGACATAATGTTTGGTAAGGTTTAGCAGACACTAGTTCATTGAGTACGGTCACCATGCTGCCTGCTGTGGACAGTCAAAGGGACGTGTTATTTGATATGGTCTACCAGGTATTGAGACATATGGTCTAGATACCTGGTATCACAGTAGCACTGAAACTCATTGACTACATTATTCATTTGTGTGGGAGGCAAAACATTGTTTTAGTTCGACTGCAGCATCTAATTTGTGGAAAACGTCAAGTGTATGTTGACTACAAAGTAGTAGTGGAGTCAGCTATCTTCAGTTTTGTTCAAACTTTGAAATATCTTTCTCTTTCAGGGTTCATTGAGGTAAACTGGGCACCATTCAGGACCAGAAACGGTAGCCATAGGCCCTTTCATGAGCTTGTGATGATTTGCTTGGCGTAGTCACCTTATCTCAGTGTCAAGCTTATACAGTGAGCAAACGGGTCTTATTCATGAGGTTATCACAAAGATTGATCTTACATATGTGGGACTGTAAGAATCCCAATGTGTGTATTAACCAGTGAAAGTAGACCTTTGGTTGATAGGCCATTGGCAGAGTTCTCAGTTAGTGGGGCTCCTTTGATTGCTCTATTTCATTGGTAAATTTGAGGTCAGGCTGGAATTTAACAAGTTGTGATGCAGCTCTGAATTAACATATCACAAAGGGTAGATGGGTAGAGCTCGTTCCATCAAAGATGAGCTTCTCATGGTAATCAATGAAGATGTGAGTGAAGAACTTGTCCCGGTGGAGTTCCCACAGCAACGCTGGCTATTTGGGTGGACATAATGTTGTCTAAACTGAACCCAATGGTGCGAGTTGCTAAATTCATGATTTTGGTGAAAACAAGTTCAGATCCTGTGGAAGATCTCGAGTGTCACGACACACTGCCCAAATGTAGACATCAAGATCAGATTATCAGTTGAGTTTGTCTGTGATTAATTTTCATATGTTGTAAGTAACATACATTCATACAAGATCCTGTTCTTGGAAGACAAAAAGAATCTGTCCATACACTGTACCTTTTAAATTGAGGACAGGGTTATGAGGACTGTCAATCCCTACTGTATTTCCCATGGCAACAGCTGGCCAATCAGAGTCTACCTGCATGGTCTGAGATTCTTCAGCTAACAAGGTTGACAGCTCACAGTTTCTGACACATCTCCACGTAAACCACAGTCCAACCAACCAGCAGCCTCTTTTCCTGCTGCATAAATTGATGTTCCCTTTCTAAAACAAAAACAGAAATTGCTGGAAAAGCTCAGCAGGTTTGGTAGCGTCTGTGGAGAGAAATTAGAGTTAACATTTCAGGTTCAGTGACCCTTCCTCAGAACAGCCCTCTGTGGTAAAGAGTTCCACAGATTTACCACACTCTGAGAAGAAATTCCTCCTCATCTCTACGCTATCTAGCAACCCCTTACTCCGAGACGATGCCCTCTGGTCCTAGCCTCCTCCACAAGAGTAAACATCCTTTCAACATCTACCCTGTCAAGTCCACAAGAACCTTGTGTGTTTGAATAAGGTCCCCTCTCATTCTTCTAAACTCCAACAAGTACAGGCCCAACCTACTCAACCTCTCCTCACAAGACAATCTTTCCATACCTGGTATTGGCCTCATGAACCTTCACTGAACTGCTTCCAATACCAGTCGATCTTTTCTTAGATAAGGGGACCAAAACTGTTTCAAGTATTCCAGCTGTGGTTTGGCTACTGCTTTATATTGTTTTAGCAAGACTTCCCTATTTTGATACTCCATTCTCTTTAAAATTAAAGGCCAACATTCCACATACCTTCCCTATTACTCACTGAACTTGCATACTAGTTTTGGTCCCTCTGCAGAAACCTACAGACAGGCTTTCTCCATTTAAATAGTATTCAGCTCCTTTATTTTTCCTGCCAAATTGCATAAGCTACATTTTTTCGCATTATTTTCCATCTGCCAAGTTTTTGTACATTTACTGTCAATATTCCTCTGTTGACTTTGTATCACTCTGACCACTTGCCTTCCCACCTGGTTTTATGTAATTTGCAAACTTGGTGATCACTTTCCTCATCCGAGTTATTAATACATATTGTAAATAATTGTGGTTGCAGCACTGATCCTGGTGTCCACTAGTCACAGGCTGCCATCCTGAAAATGCTGCCCTTATTCCTCTGTCATCTATTATTTAGGCAATCCTCTATCCATGTTAATGTATTATCCTAACACTGTAGGTAGGCTGTTATTTTATTAAGTAGCTTAATGTGTGGTACGTTGTCAAACACCTTCTGAGCAACTGAGGTAAGTGGTTAATGATCTATTTCAATGGTATTCGTTGAGGAGAAATGTTGCCTTGAAAACTGGGTGGGTGGCCACATTGTGGTGGTGGATAATTTGAGAGTGATTAGGAACAGTGTTGAATCGAACCTAGTTCCCTGATCCCCAGTTTGATTCACACAGGCATAGTCATTCCGCCAATTCTTAAATCTGTCAAGAAAATCCCCACACTCTCATTTTTCAAGACTGAAAGAACCAGACATGGAGATAACAGATTAAACTAAAATATTAAAAACCAGCCCATGAATTATTAATCAGTTCAGGAGGGCACAGCAAATGTGACCTTTCACCTGCGATAGACTGTACGTACTCAGTGAGGGCTTTGTGCTGATTGAGAATGGGACCAATCTGCTGGCCAATGTTTGAGGATCCAGACTGTGATCACAGGCCCAGCCTCAGTGTTGCGTGTTTGTGTGGGAGAGGAGAACCAGCATTTGATAAGCCAACAAGAGAATTTAGTGATAATTTCTTATCCTAGTGGCCTGGTAAACACACCCAATAAACTGATTCAACCATTTCCCCTCTCCTTCAACACCTTCCCCACCCCTTCCATAGGGGCAGCCGCTAATCGACAAACTCCCCTGATTCTGGGAGCAAGCTTTACAGTGAGCAGAGCTACCCAGTCCCATCTATTTCTGCACAAATGATGTCCTGTGGTCCTCCTACTTAAATCAAACACAATTCACTGCAATTCTGCAGTGTAAAGCCATTTTTAGCTTAAAGATATTACACTCCTCTGTTTGGATGTTAGCATGTAATGTGAGGTAACCATGGTAACCCAGCAAGAATCAAATTATTTTCAGGCACCCAGTTTTGGCCCAGTTTCTGTTCAGTTTAGATCTAAACTCACTCGCAGCGTGGTGACAGTGCTACAGCAGCTGACTGTCATTCAGCTGTTTCCAAGTCACACTGTCGAGTTTTACACAAACTGCCACCTTTTATTAAACTGGACCAAAGACACTCCAGTTTCACAACTGCTGTAAAAACCTGCACCTTCCAGCACCCCCTAACTTTGATCTCAGCCTCTGGGTTTACCCTTCTACACTCACACCCTCCCCATCACCCTCCTAAGTCCCATCCCAGACCCCAATTCCTAATGTTCCAGGCACTGGGGACAGGAATTCACTGAATAGGTCAGTAGCTGGGAACGGGATCTAGGATACAGAACCAGCAACTAACAGGACAAGGTAAACCTGGGAAATAAGTGTGGTTGTGGAAGGGAAACAGCAACAAATAGAGTTCAAATTGATTCAGCATCATCTTCTCCAAGGCAACTTGGAACAGGAAGAAATTCTGACCTGACAGTGACACTTCCCCCAACCCTGTGAACAAACAGAACATTGGAAGGGCTGTAGGTTTGATGGGATTGGAGCTTATGGATTTGGAGTTTCAGAGGTCATGGCTTCAGCTCAGGTCATATGGGTTGGGGAAACTTGGAAGATGGCTTCAGATCCTACTATGGTTGTTTAAAGTCAATTAATAAATTTAGAATTATCCACCATCTACAAGGCACTAAGCCAGGAGTGTGATGAAATACCAACCACTTGTCTGGATGAGTGTAGCTCCAACAACACTCAAGATGCTCAATGCCATCCAGGACAAAGCAATCCCCATTCATTGGCACCACATCCACAAACAGCCACTCCCTTCACTGCTGATGCTCAGTAGCAGCAGTGTGTACCACCTACAAGATGCACTGCAGAAATTCACCAAGGTTTCTTAGGCAGCACATTCCAAACCCATGACTACTTCCACCTGGAAGGACAAGGGCAGCAGAAACATGGGAACACCACTCCCTGCATGCACCACTCTGAATCATTCACCATCCTGATTTGGAAATGTATCCATATTCCTTCACTAGGTCCTTCTGAACAGCACTGTTGGTGTGGCTACAGCAAATAGACTGCAGCAGTTCAAGAAGGTACTGCCTTTTCAAGGACAACAAAGATGGGCTGAAAGCGATGGCCAAGGTACTGAGGCCCACATTCTGTGAAAAAGAATATTGAAAAGGAATTCACT